CCTCAGGCCGGTTGGTCGGCGTAGGGGCAATGTCGTAATTGCCTTTGGCCCGGATGTAATCCGAAATGACTCCGGAATTTTGTCGGATTGGGTGTATGCCAAGATGAACGATAGCTGGAAATAAGCTTACTCTACTCATACGGTTATCAATATGCCACACATAAAGTCTTATTTTTTGGAGAGATATGTTCTACACTGGATTGAAAATGGTATCGAATAGTAAGAATTAGGGCGTACAAAGCTCCCAACGCTTTTTCTAAACTTTTATATCATCATAGCGTAAAAATATATCGCTGGCATAACCTATCGTTCATGTTGGCTGCCCCCTCGCTGTCGGAATTCTTCCTGAACGTACTCGCTATCTTTACTGGCTAGTGCTTCTTTACTGCAGGCAACTGCTTGTGTGATTAGTATAATCAAATCTAGACAGAATCCGATCAATTATACTAACAAAGACGGACTTATTTGCACTAGCTGGCATATCCGCCAACCTGGCCTTGTAGATGCACCTTGATAAAATTCACCACTCCTCAATTTTATACGACACTTTACATACTTCCGCCACTTTCGTGCCTCCATTATGTTTCTGTCATCAGCATGCTCACCTAACGCCTGCCAACTTTTAGTTCTTCGGGGGCGGTATTTATCAATCTCCCGCTCGCTGTTCGGGCGATTATTAACGAATGCCTGAACAGGCGAGAGAGCGCCATCCCATGATTAATGAAAGTTTGGGGCGCGTGGCCCAAATGGGCAGCAGAGCCCGACTCGAGATCGGACATGACCGGGCACCTGCCTTACCCGACATGGTCAAACTTGCCAGATCGGACCATATCTTCAAACAGACAAGAACCCGATCACCAGCTTGGATTTGTGTATCGCAAACACCAGTCCCGCGCCTATATGGGCTGTGACCTGGGGCGGTATCTATCAATCTTCCACTCGTTGTTCGGGCCATTTTTAGCAAAAACCCGGACAGGCGAGTGCGCCAACACGTGACTCATCAAACTTTAGAATGTGGTCCGATCTGGCAAGTTTGGCCATGTCGAGCACGGTAGTCAGGCAGTAATAGAGCCCAATCTCGACAGATCGGCCTCCGCTGCCCGACTGCTGCGCCCGACATGGCCAAACTCGCCAAATCGGACCATATTCTTTAGTAGACAGGAGCCCGATCACCAGCTTGGCTTCGTGTATCGCGAGCGCCAGTGCCCGTGCCTGTACGGGCTGTTACCTGTACAGTACTCCTTCCTATACAGGAGATTGATAGATACTGCCCTAGTAAGGAATCCCTTTTCGTATAGGAGATTCAAAAATACTGCCCCAGGTCGAAGTTTTCAGAAACTTTAGTGGATAGATGCAACGGTATTTTTCTATATTCAGTTGCAGTAAGTTTCGACCCGTTTTAGGCGGAAATTGGATTGGCGGGAGTCCGCCTCGCAACAGCTCGCGCCGTTTCGCAGCTACAGTATGTCCTATCGTGCTGCGAACCTATGTCTGCGTCTCTTCAATCTCCTTAGTCTTTGCTTGGCAAAATGCCAGCGCTATGCGCTCGCAAAGCCTCCAGCGATGCGCATGCGCTGCTCCACGTAGAATGTCTCGCCTAATCCGGGATGAAACCGACTGTAGTAGCGTTATCAGCATGCTTACCTATCCATTTGTGCTAAACCCCAGCCCGCACTCGAAGTTTGCGAAGAATTGGTAAAATGATAAAAGTGTCGCTTTCAGAAATCAATATTGTACTCGTAAACAGCATGCTCGCTTACCCCTCCCCCCTCCTGTACCTCCCAGCCAGCTAGCTCAGAGTTTGCTAATAGTTTAATAATCGATTCAATCCATGAAGGCAATCGATTATTTTGAAAAATTGTATTTGTAATTAGCACAGTCACCTACGCACTTCTGGCAGCTCCGCGATCCTTAGCACTAATTTTGCGAAAAAAAGAAAAATCGATATCGATAGGTAAGGAAAGGCCTATGATGTCCTCTCCGCTATAACACCAGTACCAGGAGCCGTGGGGCTCTGCTCCACGCGGCCGCCTCACTTGGTCCTTGCGCCGCGGTCGCGGGCGTATATCCGCGCATTTTGTCAGCCCTCAATCGAGGGGACCAACACGAGACCGACGTTTCGTCACTTTTTTCGTTTTATATGATGTTTGAAGTAACACTTTCCATCCCTACTACGTAAAATCAAGCTTGCAAAGATCGTGGTAGTTATTGTTAAGTTCAAAAAGTTATTGTTCCCTTATCATGCGGTAGGAGGTGTGAGCTATAGTCTATTCTGTCAAGAAAGCCCGCAGAGGAAGAAAGCGTGAAGCGTAAAATGACAAGCCCATTCTTTGAAGATTTTTGCAGGGTAGAAGTCAAATAAAGCTCTAAGGTAAGGAAGCTAAGACATGATTATACTAAAGCTGACATTTTACCTATCATACCCTTGATGACATGAAAACGACGACATTCTAGCTTTCTTTCTAGTTAGAACAGCCATAAGTATACAAGATCTTTTTGTGGAAAGCAACTATTGCACCAGATGTAAAGCAAGCAATTGTCAGAAAAAGAGCCCTTGAAATAGAAGAAACAACACCAATGAAGAAAATATCTCTCGTTCGCGTTATCATCATCAACTAGGGTTTGCAATGCCCGTCACTTACGTCCGCAGACGCGACGCAAGGCTAAGCAAGGCGGTTGCGCGAATCTGAACCACAGAGGCTGTGACGTTGCCATTGAGATGGCCTGTTTGTATTTTGTATTTTCTATTTTTATTTTTTTCAAAATATTCTTTCCTATTTTCTGTTGCATCTTTCTGTCTGTACATACGTATTTTCTATCCCGCGAAAACGTACAGACAGACAGACACAGTGGCGTGGACTCGCATTCCATGTATGAACAACGAAAAATGTATATCTGACGACAACAAGTGATCTACTATCATTGCTATCGTTGTGTGAGCTCGATACCGCAAACTATAAATAGCAGGGCTCACTAGGCATAACTCAGTAATGTCCGTCAAACTAGTCTACAGTACCAACACTGCCGCTCTGAAATTCTGCGAAATAAACTCGTTGTCGCGCCGTATGTGCCGCATTGCGATAGCTTGCTCAAGCTTCAACCAATTAAACTCTAGCTTGAATTTTTGAAACTAGCTCCTTTTGGACAATCTAGTGCGTGCGGACTGCTGCATTCACGGTTAATTGGGACTTCATCTGCCCATGTTCGATGTCCCCAGTACGTTGCATTTCAGAATACTCAGAAGTGATGTTTGGCGGCACAGTGGCAACACGTAAACTACAATTCTTTTCAGGCCTCCGACAAAAACGAGTTGTTTGAAAAGTTGGGCCAATGAAGTTCCACCATGCAAAACTGTGCAGCATAAGAAATGGAACACCTGCTTACAGTCAAAGATGCTCAGGTCTCAAAACGAGAGCACATGGATGCAGGCACATACAGAGACAAACATTCAGCTTTATGACATTACATGTCCGATGTTTAGCGAATCTTTACTTCTTATTTTGTTTCCATAGGCTGATAAGGTGTCTTGGCGAATAAGTCAGGTCTCTGTCCTTGGTAGGATTGAAAAAGGAGACAACGCCGCAACGTCAGCTTGAATAAAGACTATTAACAATTTTGCCCCGCGCTCGGAAAACGTCCTAAATTTATTCACCTTCATATAAAGGATTTGTTTGATTTGACTAAAAACGCTTCATAACTTACTCTATAACCACGGTTATCCGCAGCGCTTGACTTTTTTCTTGTTGAGGCCTTTCGTATTTCTAAGCAGGTCAAAAACATTACAAAAATGTGCTAAATTTCAAATTAACAGTGCTAACCAAGGAAGTTACCAAGGCGCGCAGCCGTTTATTATAGAAATGCATATACTCAAATGCGTCCATGTTGTTGTGCTGATTGATATAATAGATTTAGCGGTGGAATTTCAAACCCTCTTGACTAAACGAGTCTCTTAGTAAGTGAGCGGAAGTTACTCCAATAGAATGTGCTTTGAAGTCTACCTTGGAAACTGTACGGCTTTGCGTGTGCTGACTACGAGGACGAGACACACGCATCAGAAACATAAAGAGATGTCCTATTAGTTACTAAGTTATTGATTGTGCGCCGCCAGTCACATTTGGTTCTCTGAACGTCTACAACTTTTTCAAAACTCAATCGAAACACTCAATGTGTCCTTCATACCCTAATCGAGCAACTCTTAGCATGTCAAAAGATCCTTGATTTTTGATCTTTGGAGATTCCGAGATTAATAAAGCAAAATGAGGTCAGTGGGTGGGCTCTCAGCCTTAGAAGCCGAATTCGGTCGATAATATCATTTTACATTTGGTGATGCATTAATTCAGTACAAGTGCGCAACAGATCACATCAACATAGTATTCGTGGTATTAAACAAGAGTTTTGCTGAATAAAAAGAGAAGCGCGGATATTTCGATAAGTTTATTTGTATGATGCTCCACATTTTTCTGATCTTTATTTCTTATCTGCTAAGTGGATGAGTAAAAGCTAATGACCCCGTACATAAAGGCCTTGGAACTAAACGCTGAAATCGGCATAAGAGTCGATAATCAACAATTAAAGCATGCAGATGTTGTTCTCCAGCATCAGTTTAAAAAGTCGTAGAAATGGATGTCTTTTCATTACCGTCTGTTATGAAGAGTTAAGCCTCTAGATTCAGTCCTTATGACTGTCATTGCGGATAGACGAAAATCAAGTGAATGAAGACGAAAAATGAGATAAGATGGAGCAAGAAACAGCTAAGCTAAGTGCAAAGACACTTTTTGCAAATGACTATCTATCAAACAATAAAAAACGATTGAAGAAGATTAATGGGCGAGTGAAGCTCTATTTCAGATATGCGTGTTTGTGCTGGTACGAGCGGCTGCTCACTGCTAACAGATGAATCCATCACTCTTTGCTAACAGTTGAGAAGAAGTTTTGATGTCGATACTTTGCAAGGCAAATTACCTGGGTTATCTTTTTCACCAATGATCACTCAAACTCACATTTGATTGATTACTCTGATGAATGCTCAGACCAGAGTCAGTTCGATGCCGAACAGCGGGTGATGGTGGAAGTGGCAGGTAACAAACAGGCGGAAGATTAGCCTAAAGTGCAAGCAGTACGTTTGGTAAGGCAAACACATTCCATACGGCTTCTTTTGCTTGCCTTACAAAAATGTTTTTCCACACTTTCTTATAACCAAAATAGCAACTTGCACCGTTTTGATATAGCCAGAAGTTGTGTCACCCACGACGTACCTTGCTCCAAGGAAATTCGTAACAAGAGCTTATACAAATTTAGCTTGAGAAAGTGATGGAAAGCACCATTTCTTTCATCCTTCGAGACGTTGATAGTAAACTTCTTGCAAATCGTTTATATTTGTAAACAATACTGAGGCATTTTTACCGTCTGTCAGTTGCTGCACATAATTCTCTCATTTTTCCAAAGTTCATCAGACAAAGACCTTGCGGCTCGAGTATGCTCTAGAAGGCTGATAGCACTGTGGCGCAATTGGTCGCCACTACAGGGTGTTCCAAAAAAATGTATCGAACGTTTGATCGTTAATATCTCTCTTTTAAAGAAGTCTTTTCCCTTGCTTCAAATACCGATCTGTAGAGCTGGCTTCAACTTAGATTTGCATTAAAGAACGAATCACTCATCTCTCTTCATTACTGTAGGATTACGGTAGAAACTTCAAAGAGGGTTTTAAGCAATGAAAGGCCATATTTTGCCCCAGAAAGGAAACAAAATAGCCTGAAAACTTTTACACTAGGCTAATTAAAGTTGCTGATTATAACTGTAAAGTTCCCAGATTATTATGATGCTTCATTGAAGAGTTATGCCAGGTAAGAGGTAGCGGCCATTTTTTTCAATGTTCCTAAAAAGTGCGGTTACACCGTTTAGAAAGCTTAGTAATCTTGTGAATAGCTGAGTATTGAACTCAGCATCCATATAAACCTTATTTTACAAGTTTTCACATTTTTTTTTGAAAAATTTTGAAACGGCAGCTTTTTCCACATTGACACCATTTGTTTGAAGTTTCTACCGTAATCCTACACTAATGACGAGAGATGGGTGATTCGTTCTTTAATGCAAATCTAAGTTGAAGCCAGCTCTACAAAACGGTACCTGAAGCAAGGCAAAAGACTTCTTGGGAAGAGAGATATTAACCATCAAACGTTTGATACATTTTTTTGGGACACCCTGTATAATCCTGATCAGACTATATCCTGCGCTCACTGCCAAGTGGAGATCTATGCATAGCAGCAACCCTTACCTCTCTGTTCTTTACAAATCTTCTGTATAAATTACTTCAAGACGCTCTTGCCAGGGCGGCTCTTAAAGTCTCAATAGAGCATTTCGTGTTGGTGTTGGTATGAGCGGTAAATGATTATTTCGAGATATCTAAGCGACCTCGTTCGTGTAAAAGTGAGCTACAATTGTAGAACAACATCAACGCCAATGAAATGGTCATACACTGCTCTAGATTTCTCGCCGGTTTATGAGCGATCCTGTAGGGGAATGCTTCGAAACTTCAGTTTTGATAAGATTTTGAGGGAGCGAGAGACGCTGCCCATTTCGCATACTAATGCTCTTGACTTTTCTTTGCTAAACAGCTGCTAATGTGCTCATTTTTTGTACCTGTTATGTAGTCGCGTATGGTTGTGTGCGGTCCAAAATGTAAAATGTTTGGCCGTTAATAATTTTATGTAAAAATAACTCCCACAAAATTTCATGTACCAAGTTCTTAGGCTGACTTCGTCTTATCTATAACAAAAAACGGATAACAACCTATTTTCGTAACTTTTAGGATAAGGCAATAATTTAAAAGAGTTTTGCGGCTATGAGAGTATTTCTTCAAGAAATCCCAGAAACTCTCAAAAAGAGCTGGAAACTTTTAATCACATTACCTGGCATCAAGAATTCCATGTATAGGCTTTTCGCTTTGTCATAATTCCACCTCAAGTTACGACAACTACAATCGAATCGTTTCAAACGATCATGCGTGTCACTGCACACATCGTCCATCTTTGGCGTTCCCATTCTGGATTCTTGGAGGCGGCAACGTTTAGATAAGTGTTTTCTAGGTTTTGTGCGTTTTCTTTCCTTTTTAGGTACTAGTCACCTCAAAGTAATGTAGGCGATAACAATCGCTCAGTTTCTTGCGTTTTTGCGATTGTAAATTCAGGATAAGGACGCCAAGGATGCATACTGTGTGCGGGTGCATGATCATATGAAATGATTCAACTGTATAACGTAACCTTTTTTCCAATAATCATTAAAAAATCTGCTTATACTTTCTAAACTGCTAGAAAAACATGTACAGAGTTCAACAACTAATCCAAAATTCTACTGCAGAAGTCAATCCGGGAATGACCTGAAAAAGAGCATAACTCCATCGCGCTGGAAGCCGACGGCAGAGGGCCGGGACTACACTTGTACGCGTGGCGGACGCCAATACTTCAAATGTAGGCAGTGTACTTTTCTTGTTTTCGCTTGATGACAAGGCCCACGCTTTTATTAAAAAAAAAAGAGTAATGTTGCGTACTTACATAGTCGTTAGTGCCGTATTCGTTATTTCGCGGTGTCAATGAGTACCGATCATCTTGTGGTGCTGGTGCTGTGACGTAAGCGTACCGAGGTTGATATTGTACAGGCTGAAAAGTTGGAATGACACCATATGTCTACGGAATGCTAATAACGCACTTGTTTCTGTGGTGATTTCGATCGATGCCGACCATCGACGAGCTTTTTGAAAAAGCTCGTCATCTGCAAACTAACGAGATGTATGAGTTGGAAAGACGATTAACGCGATACATATGTTGTCGAGGAATGAGCTTGTTGAGCACATCGTTACCAGCAATAGAAAAAGATTGAGTGACGGCAGTAACGTAGAAATATATAGAGGAAATATACACAATCTAGAGATGGCTTAATTGTTTTTATGTGTTTAAACGATCTGAGCGAGTTTGTGATAGAGAACAAGAAATATGCTAAGAATTTACGTGAACGCCTCTAAATAACAGCATAACAGATGGAAAATTGGGAATATTCTTTTGATACGTTAGGATAGTACGAGTGGAACGTTACAAGAAGTACTGTAAGATTTGCCATACATCAAACCTGAGCGGCAAACAAAACTGAAATTGTAGGAACAGCCTAGATATGACGTAAAAGAATAAACCAAACGTAAAGAAATCAGCGTCTTTAGTAAACTCTGCTGGCATGGGCCAAACTTATCCTACTTCAAAGTCAAAGAGTCCACTAAATGCATGCCAACCTTTACAGTGACTTGCGCGAGTGCCGTTTACCAAGTCAGTGCTTGGTTCCTCTCAGGCTACTCTGTACTAATTTACCATCTCCGGAAATCGGAGACTTGGTTGGCTCAAGGGCAGGCTGGAATCCTGGTTCGATTTGGTCGGCAGCGCCTTACACAGCAGCACTCGCCCCACTTTTGACCATGACTAAGAGTGTGGTCGGCGCTCGACCTGCTGGTCATTGGGAGTGGATAAGGAGAGGAGGGTCCTAATCAGAAGCAGTTTGAGTAAAAATGAGAGAATACCATATCGGACAAGGTGAAGAACAATAGCACTACCATAAATGTATATTCTCGTCAAAAAGTCCTTAAAAAATATTAATTGCATCAGTAACAGTAACTCCATTACCAAAAATAGAAAATTTCAAATTTTTTAGTCCTTACCGTACAGCTACCATAAGCTACCAAAGAGGATTCACCAGGGTGGAATGGGTGCAATTTCCGCAACCAGATCAAATAAAATCTATGAGCTTCAAAAACCTTTAACCGCTACACCAACTCTTCCTAGTGTCTAAAAAACGTCATTTTTGAAATGCGTAAGTTGGTCAACCTTTTTCTAAATGATTTACCTGAAAGAATCAACCTTTTTTATCATAACAAGCTGATAACCTTAGTCGATCTAGGCTAAAAACAATAACGACTTAGAAGTGCTTCTAAAAATTCAACTACCGCGCTTCTCGCATGGAGTGCTTCAAGAGTATAAGTGTACAAGACTAGAATACAAGCGCCTTACCTCACACCTTACCCTGGTTACGAATTGGTCACATCCAGCTTATGTATGGTCAGTTTTGGTAGCACACTTTATCGAGGGCAAGAAAAACAGTCTGCCGGGCGCAAAATTCAAAATTCCAAAATTGGGAGAAGCAACGGTGCTGGACAAGATTTCAAAATGCGGTGGTGCCAATGTGTTTTCGTTTTGAATTCGCGGACAAAAGGACACTCAGGTGTATCTGAAAACGGAGTGGCCAAAGCTTAACGAAAGCAAAAACTAAGCTTCATACTTATTCATTAAGAATTTCGATTTAGACAAAGGAGATCGAAACAGTTGTACGTTACCCTGCTTTGATCTGCGCTATTTACATATATGCGCATATGACTTCATTCACTTGACTTTTTCGCAAAAAGATGATATGAAAGTTTTTTTTTCAATTTGCTTGATTCTTAGAATTACGGTATGCCCAAAACGGTCCCATTGATTTTACAGCATCTTATACAAAGAACGACGGCAAAGTTTCTTACTTGCTTCCCATTCCAAAATTACCGACAAATTCGCTTCCAAAAACATATTCGCATAGAATATTGACCTTTACTTAGGCAGAAGAGGCTCGGAAATGATATCTTGTAAATTGTCTCCCATCGGAAGTTTTTTCGTTTTCTTATATTTTTTCGCAGTTCATTTTGCTCTTCGAGCGGCTGTCTGACCCGAATAGTGTGCTGCTGTCAAAATTTTGACGATTATGATGCTGACATCCGCGTGATTCTTTTTTACAACATAACTTATGCTCAGGACATCTTTAATCTGTGGTTAGAATAATCATCGTGAGTGACGCTTTATTCTTGAGAACAGACATGGCAAACCAAGTTTTTTCTTCAAAATACAAAAATCACTTTTTTTTTCAAACGATAACAGCAACATTCGGATAAAAAAACAGTCCTTTCTGTATGAGCTCCAGCTTACTAAAACCTACTCGCAGCATTCAATTATTGCTTTTGGGTGATTGGTTGCATAGGCATCCATGATGTTCATCGGCGCTTTGATTACAACGAATCGTAATGCGGAAGAAATGAGGGTACTTTGACTCCAAATAAATGGCAGCAAAGGCAGACAATGTGGATGTGTTATGGTCGAAAGATGGAAACCAGTTGAGTTTGAGTTTGATTCAGAAGGAGATCAAAAAATCGAAAAGCCACTTCAAGCTGTTAACCAATGTTGATGGAAGCCATATAGGAGCATATCTAGTCATGAGGTTTTTATTCTCACGATCAGTGGAGACAGTGACTCACAGTTAGTTTTCCGAATAAGAAGTTTGTTTTTTCACTGCTGAAGCAATGTTCAATAAAAAGTCGGAAAACCTCGCTTTCCTTTCCAATTCATTTAATGCGCTTCTCTGAAAGAATACTCAATAGCCAGTTCTAACAAAGGAAGATACTTATCACTATTTATATTCAACCATGAAAGTTTTGCACCATTTTTCTTGGAATAAAAACATAACTCGAGCCAGATAAATTTTTTTTGCAAATATGGAAGACAGTTTTCGAACCAGCATTGAAGGCGCATCCATCGATATATACCTCATGACTAACTTCCACGGTCATTAACTTTCCCCTGTAAGTTTCTTCCCAGAGGGAAGGAACTAGCATAAAATTTTTCACTATTTCATGATCAAGCTTTGTTATACTGGACATTTTGTAAGCGCATATGGAATGACTTGTGATGCATTGAGTTAAGTTGATGAATATTAGTATATATCAGTATTGGTTTGTTGCAAAAAACGATATTGTATATTTTTTACTTGAAGATGCAGCGGCCTTCATTAGGACTTCCTTCATTAACTGAAGGAAAGCTCCAAGTTACACAGCATATCCGTTTGTCGTAAAGCTAAGCAATTAATGGGAACATGTTGTTGTTTTACACTAGCCTTCAAGCCAATAAATCGCATATTTATAGAGCTTGTAGAGAAGCGAGGTGTTGAGAAAGGTCAGTGAACCATTTTAAACTAATCATACTATTTTGCAGGCGATAAATGACCCAGGCTACCAATTGAGAGGTGTCCATTATTTAGATACTGCTAATTTGCAAATGCTATGCAAAGCGATATCAACTTTAACTGTGCTCTGAATTTTGAATTAGCTTCTATAAGAAACAAGATTAGTTGGAAAATGTTAGCTGTACAAATTTTTCAAAAAAGCTACAAATCGAATGGGGATGAAGAAGCGTCTCTCGACATTGCCTATACATGAGCTTCTATACAAAACGCATATTTTTATCATTCGCAAAGAAAACCAGAAAGGCAGCGATTTTTGAGAATCAGCATTGATCATAAATTTCCGAGGCTTTTTGAAATTGGCTGAATTTTCAGCCAGTTTCAAAAAGCAAGCGTCATGACTCATTCTCAATAATCAAAAAATGACAGTCGCCACCGAAATTTACTACGGCTGAGTGATCTTTTTGCAAAAATTCTGGTCAAGAAATGGCTGTTTAAGGCAGAGCCAAAAATTTCACGATGGATATCAGAAGTTATGAAGAAAATGCTGAAAGATTGCGTTGAACTGAAAAGCATTTCCGCAGCAGCCCGCACTTTGTTAACGATTAGAACATTATTGAGCTGTAAATTTGTTACACTAGAGTCATTAAGCGTTGATTTGAGGTCTTGAAGAATTCTCAACTTTCGAGCCTTGTAAAAACTCGAAAGTTTCCGAAAGCTGAGAATCCTTCAAGTGTCACAGGAAAATTCTTTGCAAAATTCTTTCAATTCTCGTGATCCATGTTGAAAAAATATCATTTAGGACGCGATAATCAAAAAAGTTTTCGTGAGGAGGTTAGTGAGATCATTTTTGTGCAGGTGTTATGATGAAATTTGTATATTTTTTTTGTACAAGGGAAAATCGGTGGGTGATAACTCACTGGTTCACCGAGAGCATGTGAGCATCACAAAAAAAATTTCTTCATAAAAAATGCTTTTATAAAATGCCGCCAAAATGCAAAGAAAATATTATCTAACAGTTGTTCGCCTTTGAGTGAAGGGCTGTGTATAAGTAATACACCTTATTTCCCCTTGTCCACTCATAAATCACCACTGATGTTCTTGATTGCCTAGTGTTCAGAAATTCTCTCCTTTAGATAGCTGGCTGCACTACACAGCTCAAAAGTTTGCTACCAGAACGTAGGTCAATTCAATGCCAAAAATATATAGTTACTCAAGTGAGCAAAAATCTGAAAATCGCCTAAAATGTTTACTTAAATGAACATTTGCGCCGCATTTCCGTTGCTGAGATATAAATGTTTGAAAGGCATAGCGCAAGAAATTTTTCTAACAATTACTTCAGTTACGGGTCGAGCCCCCCCTCTCCCTTCCCGAGATTGGGTGGCGTGATTTTTGAAAGTCACTTACATGGGCTATAGAAATGTGCAAGTGACTTGTTTACATTTGCAAATTACTGGAATGACTTTTAGAATTTTTATTTAAATCATGTAAAAAAAATTTTTTTCGGGGCGGGGCTGTTGCGGTGATGGGGTCGCAAAAATTTTGGAAAGCATCCAAATTTTTCGGTGTGCGTGGCTAACTCCACGCACCTTCATTTTAAAAAGTTTTTGTTTTCCATCTACCCTACCCCGAACGGAAACCGTGGAACAGCCTCTGACTGTCCTTTGTTCCCCCCCCCCACCTTCCCGCACCCTCTGTATCACCTTTTGTAAAACACAGAAACTTTTTTAACTTCTAAAATACTTGTTAACAGACTCAAACTTGGAATAGAAGGTCGAACTGGGCAGAATGAGCTATTATGAGTGGAATTTTTTAGAACGATTTGTTCCGTATGTTTGGCCCCTTTATAATCGACAACCACAGTTGTACTGAAGTACTGTTTTTTACTCGCAAAC